TGAGCCTCAGTGCTTAGGGTTTTTGTTGAGGGTCAGTCACAATGGCATGGAGCACCGGCATGACTGGCCACAGGTATTCAGTCTCCATTACCCCCACCCCCAAGTCAAACTGAAACAGCATGGTCCTTGGCCTCGGGAAATAAAAACAGGTGTTCACCATAAATCACATGGTTAGCATAAGCTCTCTGGCATAGCCCAAGGCCCTGGGTGGGATATTCTAAGGCAGTGGTTCTCAACCTGTGGGTGGCGACCCCTTTGGCGGTCGAACGACCCTTTCACAGGGGTCGCCTAAAACCATCCTGCATATCAGACTATTCATAACAGTAGCAACATTACAGTTATGAAGTAGCAACGAAAATAATTTTATGGTTGGGTCACAACATGAGGAACTGTATTTAAAGGGCCAGAAGGTTAGAACCACTGTTCTAAGGGATTCTGTTGTGTCCCAGAAGCCAGTCAAGTCCTTCTTGGAATGTGCAGAGTTTAGCACCTCAAGCCTGCTGAGTTATCCTTCCACTGCATACCTGTTTTGAACAATTGCCATGGGTATCAGCCAGAGTCCAGTCAGGAAAATTGAACCCACTATAGTTATTTTAAATAGGGGGAATTTAATATGGGTTGGTCACATGGGTGATAGAATAGCTGGGAAGCTAAGCAGGAGACACTGAGGAAACCCAGAAGTTGGGCGCAGAAATAGGAAACTCCTACTGCTCCTAAGACTAGAGGTGGTATTACTAGAGCCCAGAAGCTGAGTCATTGTGGGAACTGGTATGTGGGGGCTACCTGGTGGGTAATGGGCCCACAGAGGGAGGGGATGTCCAGTGGGGAGTGAGAACTACAGAGGAACATCAGGTCCCATTTCACCCCCAAGGAGAGGCAAGTTCGCTTCCAGCTGCCTGGCTGCCGGCCGCCATCTTGGCCGGCAGTTAATTTGCATATCACCCTGATTACCCAATGGGAAGGGTAGCGGTCGTATGCTAATTACCATGTTTCTCTTTTATTAGATAGGATTATCTAGAGCCCTTGGGTAACCTGGGTTAAACTTAGGCATGTTATCTAAATTACAGTTTTGGGTCTAGAGCCCTCTGACCTTGGGATAACTGTGCTGTCCTTCCCAGGTAAAGGAAAATGTGCTTTCTAAGACTAATATAACCACAACCCATGGGATATTCACATTACAACCAATAAGGCATTTAATCGAATGGGATGACTTATACAATTTAGAAAATCAAAGTAACCTGTCCATTGTTAAACAAAGCAAATAGGTACCATACTTCAGTATTACTAGAGCCCAGAAGCTGAGTCATTGTGGGAATTGATATGTGGGGGCTACCTGGTGGGTAATGGGCCCACAGAGGGAGGGGATGTCCAGTGGGGAGTGAGAACTACAGAGGAACATCAGGTCCCATTTCACCCCCAAGGAGAGGAAGAAAGGGCTAAATACCCTGGCCTCTCACTTCCTCCTATCAGTCAGTCTCCCACTTGAATGTTCTATTAGCTGAACCCAGCTATGAACCAACTGGTAAGGGAGCCTGGGAAGTGTAGTTTCCATAA